AACCGTCCACTGGTCTTCGTCGATCCTCAACAAAAGACGGATAAATGTCCCGTATTCTCGGTGTGTGGCACAGATTTGGTTGTCTAATGGGCTTTACAGGAGGGGGAAGAAATTAGTGGTACGGCCTTCATCAGCCTAAAGCCTGGGAAACAATTTGACCATCAAGGTATCAAGGTTGAGCTCATTGGTCAGAGTGGTATGTTTTTTGTCGTGATAGATTGGTAATGGTCTATATAGACACGCTCTACAATAAGACGGGAACCTATGACTTTTTCACAATGTCCCGGGATATCGAAGCCTCCGGTATGAGACATTTATCTCTCATACATAAGTATATCTGTAGGCACTGTGATTGAGAGCAAGCGTTACAAGTGGAAATTCCCGTTGGTTGGCATCGAAAATGAGTCCTATTGGGGAGTAAACATTCGATTGTATTACTTTGTTCGTATCACCATTATGAAAGCATATGGGGGGTACGTTTTGGGTGTTGTCGTATCACATTAAATATAGAAACATTTGCAAAGATGCCATGTTTGCGGTTCAGAAGGTGGGCATTCCACCAGAGATAAACAACACTATAAAAATGGAGGTCGGTATCGAGGATGCATTGCACATCGAATTTGAGTACAACAAGTCGACATATCATTTGCGCGATATGATTCTTGGAAAGGTTGGTATTAGGAATTATGATTGAGATGCTATCAGGTTTACTTTTTGCTAGTGGCGCTACCCATTAAATACATGGAAGTTGCAATTCAGAGGGTGGAAACCATCACGTTAGGTAAGCTTATGTAGATGTTCTGTGATGTCCCTTTAGGGCGATCGGTTGTTAACGAAAATACCACATTGACGACCTTCGAGGTGATGGATGGTTCTCCCGTGAAGGGAGAGTGCATTCCGGTGCGCATATATCTCAACGGACTTGACCTTTGCCCTACATATAAAAATGTACAAAACAAGTTGACTGTGAAGCACTATATCAATCTTCTAATCGTGGATGAGGACGATAAACGTTATTTCAAGAAGCAAGAGATTGAGTTTTGGCGAGACCGTTTGGGGTAAAATTCCCCCTTTACGCTTCATTTTACCGTAACCTCAAATCCATCTGATTTTATACAGTGGAATGTGGTTATTTCTTCATGTTATGGGACGCCAGTTTGTGGTTGTCGCTGGTAGTGTTGACCACGATTTCCATAATAGACCTGGTCAATATAATCCTGTCCATATAGAGCGATGTGGTACAATACCACTTCTATCGCTGGTAATATACATCACTAACACCACTTAATATATATTCGGTACAATATATGTCGGTTTCGGTGTCTATCAGGGCACGGTAGAAATATGATTCTTTACTCGTCCACTTTCGCAAGAATTTTCTTCGAGGAAAATTCTTTTCATTTATAGTCGCAACACACACGATGTTGGTTACATTGATATTAGATGCAGAGAAGGTCGGTTTAAGTATTCTATTATAACTTACTTTCTGATAGAATACAATTCCTCCTATAACGTTTTCTTTGATCTCCACGTTATATGTTGTGAATCATTAAGACGTTCAAAACAGAAACACAATACATAATATATCAAATGTAACCGATCCTTCAAAATAATTTTGCTCTATTAATATATAATCCTTGTATCAGCTGACAGTGCACCTTCATCCCACTTTTAGACAACCTAACGAAATTCTTATTTCAGCGTCCTTTGCATCCTTCTGTACAGGTATCATTGCAATGATGGTGTTACAAAACATGTTTGATGATTTGGAGCGCTGCTTCGACGATATTGAGAGAAACAAGAAAAGGCTTACTGAAGGTAGGTGTGGGGTTACTCCTAACACCCTCGGCATGCGTGTTATTTAGCCTTCCAATTTGTTTTAAGATCTGTTTATCTCCCTTTAGTGTTGTCTCAAGTCAATGCGTCGTATCTACGTTACGGATTATTGCGTGACGATATCAAACGTTTGCGGTAGGGGGTATACCTGGATGATGAATATTTTGTGTTTTAGCAAAACTGTTGTGGACTATTGGTTAGATTATGACGAATATAAATCATATATCGAGAACACCTGTGATGAATTGGATATATTGTCACTCCGAATTGGAGCTTTAGAACGATCAATGTCAACGAAGTCGCAGTTCTTAGGAATGAAAGAGATGAGTTAGGCCTCCTGTCTAATAAGATCAATCTACATAGAGTTGCATACGCTACAGTCCAACTTAGAGAAAAGTATGACAGAACTTAGGGAATACCAACGACATTATAACATCGGGTTGCTGAAAATTTATGAGGCAGAGGAGGTATGTTTCACATGACCACTTTAGGAAGATATTTTCCAGTTTTCGGCAAAAGTCCATATATCCTTTGCAAGTATCAACGAAAAGTTACTTGAGCTACAGGCAAGTTTGACTTTAATGGAAATATAAGTAAACAGGAAACTATGGATAACCAAGAATTATCCCACAAAGCTACGATCGAGGAAATGAATAAAGAAACGGTTTGTACATTCCTCCATATTGAATAGAATCTATACCAGTCAGCAAGAGCATCTGAAATTGAATCTCTTCAACACCTAGTCGAATCTGTCACTTCTGAACTTTCTGCTTGTGATGAAGATAGATCCATCCTAGAAAGCGAAAATGGTAGATTGGTAACACTGTTATCCGAGAAAAGGCGTGATAAAGACGTTTGTATTAAAGAGTAGGTGTTATTTTAGTATGGGAATGTGATCTGTTTTGTCAGGTTTGATGACCTCACATCATGTCTGTTATCACGACAGAACAAACTTGTAGAATTAAATAGAGATTTATCTAACTCACAAAAGACAAACGAGAGACATTTGCAAGCTATAGGGAGGCTAGAGGATCAGGATTCTAAGCTACAGTGTTTGCGTGAATCTTTGTCTTCGGAGACTGCTAATTTGACGACGACACTTGTTGGTTGTATTCAGTTATATCATTAATTGTTATAGAACAAGTGTATGGGACAACTGAATACTTTAGAACGATTTTTGGAGTCCATAGCAGAAGAGTTAATTAAATGTTCGACAGATGTGGAGAATTACAATTCACACCACATTACTTTATACAATCAAATTGCGACTATTCAATCTCTAGAGCAACAGTGGTTGAAGACATTCCAATCAATTGAGAACACAGCAATAATTATTGAACAAATGGAATCAAAAATATGTGAACTCGATACCAAGGTATTTAAAACCGTAGTTGACTACAAAACGATCAGAACTCGTTAATTGTTGCTGAGATTTCGGAATGGAGAAATAGGAACGAAGCACTTAAGGTTAGATGACTTCACGAAAGTTTTAGTAGTGTAACACGGTTTAGGCTAACTTAGACGTAGGACAAAAGGCGATGAACGAGTTGGAAGCTTCCAAAATGTCCTTAACAGCCATGGTTGAGAATGACACTTGCCGATCACAGCAGTTATCAAAGGAGATAGATGATCTAAACAAGGTAGAAGTCCAAGTCTTTTGCATATAAATTCACAGACCATCACGCAATCGCGGATTCTATTGGAGGATTTAAGAGCAAAATTTACATCGTAGGTATTAACCGATGCCGGATACAGTGTTTCAGTGAACAAAATGAACGCAGCATTCGTTTCTCTGAGTTACAGCAGGTTAGTGTCAGCCCTTTGCGACCTCTTTGTAACTAAGAATCAACAGCGTCACCTGGATGAATACAAAGAAAAACAAAGTGTCAAGATATGTGACCTAAAGTCTGCATTGAAGAGCCAACGTGAGACAATACTACAGGTTTGTACTCATTTAACATGTTTTAGATATCCTAAACAGAGCAAACGTGAGGAATGTGCACAAGCCCTGGAGCAGCACACTGCGAAGCTGCGCGCGGAGATGGAAGAACTTGAGCGATCACGTGAGAGGAAGTTAAAGGAAGAAGCCCGCTTAATAACTCAGCTTCAGACTGACCTCAACAAACTTCGCAATGAAACACGTCAGCAGTGTGTATAAGTACTCAATCCTCCTATGCGGTGTAGACAACCTTCTACTACCCGCGCGTTTAGCCCTCTTCGCATAACCTTAGATCATAATTAATGAAAAAAATGTGTGTATAATGGGTGACTCTGAGGGGAATGTCATCTTCGAGAGCCTCCTGGAGGCGAGTCACGTCTTGCAATCTCTAAAGGAAACCTTGAGGCAAATGCTTGAGGGTTCGTACATCAGCAAACGGACGGCTGACTCGATAATGGAGGAGGCAGCTAGGGTTAGTTGTTGTTATGGTTCGCTTTGTATAATGTCTCTGGTGATGTAGTTCTGTTCTTTTCTTAGCATATCTTGTCGCAGCAATATCATTGTATGCTAAAGAACTATCGACAATCTCTACCAGCTCACTATCTCATCGGTCATTTACGACATTATTCACGCGACGGTGGCAATTGGACCTTCAATGTCGACAATGTGGTAATGTTTGTGGGCACCCGTTCTACGATGACCGGTGGTACGTCTAACTTTCGTGATATCTAGAGCACTGTTGTTAAATAATGCCGTGATCATGGTTGCTAACTATATTAAAGCATTCGTAGGTCGCCCAAATGCTCTTCCTATTGAGTATAAATGCAAGCCTGGCTCCCCTGCAGTAGGTGTTGTTTACTCTATTAGATTAATGTTTCGTAGTTTGTGCAGAGCACTGACATGTTTCTACGTTCATCTACAGCATTTTGTTACCAAGGGTGCATCAAGATCAAGGCAATTGTGGAATGATTACATCAACCGGCCTTTACTATCGCTTTCTTGAGAAAACAGTTGATACCGTCTTCTGCAGACAGATCAATATCCTTCTGTTGAATACAGCAATTTGCAAAAACATTGGCATATACAATCACTAGTTTACACAATTCATGTTGATTATAATTAGCTGATACCCATCTTGTAGAATATATAATACTTGCCGTTGTAAGTTACTCTAATGCGCCGAATCAAATATATTATGTATCAAACATTTGGGCTATAAACAGGGGCGTCAGTAGTCTAACGGTTATGATATCTGCCTTCCAAGCAGATGACCCGGGTTCGACTCCCGGCTGACGCAGTTTTTGTTTTGAACTAATCAAGTTAGACAGAGAAAGTAAAGATATAAAAGGCAATATATCAGCAAACTTGATCATTATCAACAGAGTTACTGTTTGTACATGTGAGAGTTCTTGCCGTTGACGAGATCCTTGGCGTCGCATGGATGCATATAGCACAGCTTTATAGTATCCATCATCCCTTTGTTTAGTGGCTTCAATTTGAAGTTATACAATGGTTCCATGAATTTCACAACGAAATCTGCATTGGATTCATACATGAGTAACCATGTGGCCTGCATAACATTATAGAGGATGCCTCATCTGACTAACCACCGAGGCGATGTAGAGCAAAGTGATGCACACCGGCGGAAGAACACCCTGACAGTTAAGGAATACTCCTGACATTGCAAATTGTGTGAGTGAGATGCATATTAACATCGACTTGACGGCAGAGGCACCAATTTTGCCCGTGGAGTCCAGGGGCAACTGTAGCACATGGTACGCAAGATTGTGTCTGTCGACGCAGTATCTTACTGCAAAGTAAAGTACTCCTAATATAGGCAGATATGGTACAAACAAGCTGCATATTATTTTAATATACAATTTTATAACCTACCTGAAAAGCATCACCAGGGTCAGGATCGAGAGATGGAAGGCATACCAGTACCCAAAATCGAAATTGGTAATTCCAAGGTCGAATTTGAAGAAATATATACATATTGATCTCACTGTAGCTTCATAAAGCCTTTTATATTTTCACTTACTCATCACTTGGGATAATTGTAACAGCTGATTGCTAGAACCGAGGAAAATGGCATTAAAGACGTAAATTGTCGAGAATCTCCATGTGGTGTTGACCAGCACTTGCCCAAGATCCAGAGAAAGTGAATCAAACGCTCCGTTGAATATTTTCTGCACAACCTTATCAATCCCAGTATATACGACGTACCCAGAATGCGATCATAGAAGCAACTAAAGGTATAAGGATAGTGTTGATGACTAGATAGAAGACATGTCCAAACAATAGATATCTCTGATATGTGGAATGCGTCCAAAAGCCTGTTTTTAATGTAATACTGTTAAGTTTGCTCATACCGATTTTCCGAGAAAAGAAGTTAATCAAAGTTGGATGAACGCAGGTGTTCAGAGTTGCCATAATAAGCGGGGGCATCAATGCACTCCAGAACGATCTTTCGGTAAGATCACTCACACTGAAAGTCTTCCCAGCTGCGCCTGTCATGGAATAGTAAATATACCTTGTGAAACATTACCATCTATCATTTCCTGTCTTTTCACTGTCTGCAACAGGTTTAGATGTGATAAAATCCATGTAATGATGACATAGAATATCACAAGCAAGAGATTGCAAACAACCATCCTTATAAAGATGGAATATCTTGGAATATGTAGATTTTGCCATATAATATCTCTTGGGTGTGGTGCTGGTCTGATTCTCCATTCTGGTATAGCTTCCAATATGTTTCTATCTCGAAGTATATGCATGACGATATTTGTATCAGCAAATGAGACAAAGCAAACTCTGGCAGATGTCGAATGCTCACGGTTGGCCTCTTCTTCGATTTTAGCTTTTAGCTCTTTAACCTTCTTCAACAAGTTAACAAAGAGGTCTCCAAAGTTTTCACCGTCTTCCAAATCTTGCTGAGTTGCCACATCACTTTCTTTTCCTGCGATAAATCGAGTTATCTGTCGAACAACCCCTCTTCTAAAGTTCCCCGATGATTTTGCCGGCTCCTTTTCCTCGTCTTTTGGTTGTGATATTATATTGGAAGAAGAAACAGTGCTCCTGACCTCCTGTACATTTTCGTTAGGCTGGTCTATTGATGAGACTTGGTGAATATTGCTGCAAGATTTAGTTCGGCGTGGTTTTTCCACCGACGGTTCTTGTTCCCTCATCTCAGTATCAGTCTTTGGCTTCGCCCCCTTTGTTTTGCGATTTTTGTTTACTCTTAGCGCCATATCTCTACACAAACACAGCTGCGCCTTCGTTGCATCGAGCTCTTCCTCGAGCTGCATACGCTTACTGTGGTCGACAACTACGTGCACAGCTAGCACATGTTCTGGGAAGTAACTATCAAAATGACGATAGAATTCCATAGGATCTGTAATGTTTTTATCAAATCCGTATATCATGAGTGTGTGCAGCTGCGGTCTTAGCATAACTGTAATTTGCTTGCCGCTGTTGACTTTACGCCTAAACTTGAGGATGTGAATATAAACAATAAACGAATATATCCACGTTGTAGCATATAGCGTCCACACTACAACCTTGCAGTTTCTCATATCATCTATGGAGTAGGTGAATAGAAACTGAGGTTTGTTGTTTAGTGCGAGATGCGTAAAGATAATGACATTTGACACGATTGCAACGGCCGAATATATGATCAACATATAGCACGTGCTACGTATAAACTTCAGGTAGAGCACGGCCTCGTTGTTAAGTATACGGTTATCCTTTCCGTACAGCAGGTAGTACCACCATGTGCCTTCACCTCGTGTACTTGTCTCCCTGGTGCTTCTTTTACTCTTTCGGGACTTCGCTAGGGATATGTAAAGTGACCAATTGCCCGTATTGTCATCTCCTTCTCTAGATTCGCTATTACTTTCCGACTTATTACAGTCGAAATCGGTATCAGTAGCTGAAAATGAGTTATACATGATTAGAGAATGTATCACATCCATATGGAATCATTTATCTATTGCATTAGACTCACCATCACTACATCCATCGTTTGAACTCATATAGGATACAGGATATGTCATATCCTGTAGATCTTGTGTTGGCGAGTTTAGCGAATACGTTTGGGGTTTTAGCGTCTGCATCCCTTGGAATCCATTGCGGACGATATCAATGATCCTCACCCGTTTATGACACCAAACTACCACGCTTGCTACGAAGACTATGATGTCCATGGACATAATAATAATAAAGTTCGTTACTGCGCGTTCCATGATTGCTACAAGGTTGCAATATCAGTCTTTCCAGCGAATTATGTGCCGCTCTATGCACTTCATTCCAGCGGCATTACTTATTTTACATGGGTACACATTTTATTATCTTCGCTATGCTTCATTTTTTAGTAATGTGTGATGCATCTATCGTGCTACAGTATGGCCACTCTCGCGCCCTCTCCATCGTGCTACCACCACCTTCCTTTTTGAGTATATTCTTCGCCACCTTGTAGGATTCCATTTGTTTATCTGACGAAGTAGAATCCATGCCTAGGATGTCGCCGTTTCTTCTTTCTTTGAAGGTTAGACCACAAGTTTGGAACTGATAGCGTTCTATTGGCTATGTCTGGTCATACCTTTACCTTTTGTCATCATCGTTGACTTTGTATGTATATAATATGAAGGTTTAATGAGAATGGGTAACAAGATTTGGAAGGAGTATGTGCGTAAGCAACTACAGGAGTTGGAGGCTTCATCTGAAGAGGTACAAACTAAACCAATTCCTCGCGATACTGAGGAAGACTCTGCGCTGATTGAATCTGAACCCCTGACGTGGTGTAGAAGTGTCGAACGATGCATTGCATACACGTTTGAGTCATACTGCAAGCTAGTGATCACCACGGCTCTGATGCGTGCTCAAGCCGGAAATACTACTGTGTTGACTGTGTCAAACATTAAAGAGACCATAGATAAGATTTTCCGACCAGTGAAAGATGCTACGAATACATCGAAGACCGATCGCAAACATAATATTGATCGCTGCGTGCACCGTTACCGGTATTACCTCAAGTGGTACCGACAATTAGGACACCTCATTTACAGGCGAAAGCTTCGTTATAAAGGAAATCTAAGTTGTACGAGGTCCTTCGACCGTACACTTGTACGTTTTGTTAAACATAAGCGTACAGGTGTTGTCACGTTCATTGCCACGGAAAAACAATTAGAGAAATATGCACATATACCTCCACAACACAAGAGTCACCATGTTTCATTAAACCAAGTTTTTGGTGACTGAATCGCACATTCAGAAAACATCTGCCAGTTCCGTGTGGAACAGATGAGAACCCATGGCTTCCTCTATTGAGGGTCTCATTTGAGGATCGAAGGCAAGGAATCGGAGGATCAGTTCCTGTTCCATTATTGGGAATTCACAATTGGTGACCTACCTTGCATTCATCCGATACGTGGTCACCGGGAGGGAATTTCACACCCCCAAGGATGGCCTGGTACATTCTCTCTAATGCAGCATGTAATACATTACATATATACACATACCTGAAACTGATTTTTTGCCACCGCCGAATCCGAATGGTCGACAGTTGTATAGCATTTCATATAGAATGCACCCAACCGCCCATATATCGATTTTATCTGTGAGAACGACTTGCTTGTTCCTGACATTGGCGATGAGGCATTCAGGAGGCTGATAGAATATGGTGCCACCACCTCCCCAAAGTTCCCTTGTCGATTCATGTGGTACCATCTGTAAATACATTTAGTGATAGCTTTCAACTACCTACCTTTGATAATCCGAAGTCGGCGAGTTTGATGTTGCCTTTGTGTTTCAGAATGTTACCCGGTTTTAAATCGCAATGGTGAACCCTCCCTTCTGGTAGCGTCTTCATATAATGCAACCCCTCCAGTATTTGGTATGTCCACGTAAGTGCTAGTTTTTCTGGAACTGGTGCATGGAGTTTTATGTAGTGATCGAGATCTCCGTCGTCACAGAGCTCAAGAATGGTGGCAAGCATGTTATCTCCCATTTCGAAGCACGCCTTCATGTTGACAATGTTTTTGTGCGTCCTACAAGTTTTATGTATATCTATTTCATTTTTTACCCTCATGACAACATTACCACGTTCTATTTGGTTCATGTCATTAGAGAGTATATGTAGTTTAGCCGCTTGGACGGTAAGTGTAATGGGATCGAGAACCTCCCACACTTCAGCAAATCCACCTTTACCCAACATATTCAGTAGTCTGTATCCCCGCTTAAGTGGTGGGAATCCGGCCCACTTAGAGTTACGTTCCGCCCAGTCCCTTTTAAGTT